GTTCCTAGGAGGGAGGGTGGGATGAACTACACCCCGCTCTTGTTGTCTTATTTTTCGCAGTACCCATGGTTCTTGTTTCATACTTGGACCATTGTATGCCTTGAACAAGTCCTGCCCTATGGGAGGCTAGATGAAACTTGGCAGCTACCACTGGTGATGGAGCTGAATACAGTTTTAAACTTATTTTGATGATTGACTTGGCTTCAAATGTTTGGCCTCAAATACTCAGACGCTTAGATCCATCAAACAGAAAGACATCCAAAAACCTTGGATTCTCTACAGCCTTTCCTGCACCGGCACCGTCCTTCCGTGATGAGGTGAATTCCAAGCACAGACCTTCCAAGAAGACGATGTGGCAGAAGAGAAGATGAGAGGTGGGTCAATGATGAAGGCCTGGAAAGGGTCATTGGGTGAAGGGAAACACCTGGACCGGCCTAGCTCCACCCCTTCAGGTGGGCAGGAAGGTCTTCAGAAGGGGCTGTGTTCCAGTTAACATGTTTGGAGGAAAGGAAATCTTGTAGCGGGGATTTTGCTTACTTTTTCGGAAGTTTGGACATCAGCAGTTTGCACAGGCAGGTGTCCAAGCTTCATGTGTTTTGGCATTCTATATAGAAGGGTCTCAGTCTCAATTGATAATCCACGGCGACAATGTGTTTTGCTGCCCCTATTGCCAGACTATCCATGTCATGTTCTGCCACAACCTCATGTGTGAAGCGAGTTGTTGCTGAGAGTTTTAAACATATTCTTGGTGCCACTTTCAAGGTACCCGCAAATCTATAGTCCATGTTGAATTGTCTAAAAGTGTTGTGCCAACTATGATCTCAATTGTCGAAGACCAATTGTTTGTCCAAAAGAACACCGTGGAATGTCTTATGTAGATTAATCTCATCGATTTGCAGCCTGTCTTGCAAAGGAAATCATCAACAGCATGTTATTCTTGCTATAGAGTGTCTACGGACCCCGCTATTTCACAACAGACCCATTTGATCCTCAATCCAGGGCTAAGAGACCATCTTGAACCTCCTGGATTGCAAGAGATTCACTCCAAAGCATCAGCAGTCTATGACCCACCTGTTCAGGTGTGAATTAGAATAGGGAACTTGCAATACTGCAATCAATTACCTTTTTGTAAAGTCCCCCTTGAAGCGCTAGGGTATCTTGGTGAACTTGGTGGTGGAAGAGTTCTGCCATCCAACCCACCAAGGAATTCCTTCCCACCAGAACAAATAGCCTATGTATGATTCATATGATTTCCATTTGGTCCACAGTTATCTCTTTGAAGGTGCCTGGAACGCACTTCAGCTCCTCGGATTGAAAAGACTTCAACGCGTCCGGTTGCGGGTGGGAACGCGCTGGTGACGTGGCATCTGGCTCCCCCCTCCTCGTTTGGGTTCCCTCGTCCGCACAAAATTCAACACCAAGGCCGCACAGGGCCACAGATTCGTTATGATGTTTCCATTATTGTGTTTGGGGTATCCCTTAGCATGCATGAGCCACGGTTAATTCGTTGCATTTGTTCAGCGACTGGTGGCTAGCAATTGTTGGGACTATAATAAGTTCCGTCCTTTCCCGTGAGGCATTCACCTATCACTGGGGCCTCCAACACGAAGTGGGTATTCACTGTGTTCAAGCTCATTGGTTGTTTGAACGCATCCAAGTTTGGATGAATGCTTGGGTTGATACCAAGCTGGGGACACCAAGCTGGCGAGCGCAGCAAAAATCCACCAGTCTGGTGGTTTGGAGTGCAGCTCAGGGTCCTTTTTTTGTTGTTCTGAATGTTCTGATCTGTTCCATCAAAATGTGCAATTCAAGCCTTTGGTCATACTGACGATTATGCCTATCCAAAAGCTTCAGCATGTTCTGTTCATGAGACCCAGGAGCATGCCAGAAAGCCGCCCCAGTGCTGCATCCGTCTTGCAGGGCTTTTGCTCAATTCGTGAGATTTGTTGAATCCAAGCTGGATGGTTTTTACTTGCCCAAAATCCAGCTGACCCTTTCAGACTCCTCGTTGTTCCTGCAAAACGATTGTCTTGGAGATGCTCCTTGGTCAACCGACTAGAGGTGGTTAGGAAGATCATCTTCTACCAACGGTGTGTTCGATTTGACCAGCTGATTTTTGGTGCACTGTGTTTTTTCTGTCTTGCTTTTGATCCATGTTTGTTTCAGAGCTGTTCTCTAGCATTGGTGCAACCCACAGAAACCCGCCAATGGAGGTTAACGGGCCCAACAACTGGGGGTCCTGTCCTGTTTCTCCCTTCAAGGTTCTAGATGGGACATGCTAGCCAACCTCCAAAAGGTGATGTATGATGTTCCGGCTCGAAAGGTTTGGTTGAGACTAAACATGACAAACATGTAGGCCAATCAGATCATGCTTTTCTTTGCCTAGGCATGATGCACGAGCCGAATGCCAGGGGCCTAGGGGAGGTTCAGATGTCGATTAAGTTTGTTCCAATGTCCAATAAGAGATGTCAAGCACAAACACCAGGCAAACGAAGCACAGGCTACCTGGAAGAGTTGGAACTTCTCTGGAAGTATCGCTTTTATGTTTCTGGATCTGATAAATGACATGTTGACCCCCAAATACAGCTAATACCCTAGGACAGCTGTGATTATGGGAGAATACGAAGTGATCGAAAGCTGCGACCTTGCAGTTTCTCGCACCTTCTGGACTATCCCAGATGAAAACTTCTTGAGGATCACTAGAGACATAGGTCTGAACTCACATGAGAAAGGCCTGAACCAGGGTTGCATCTCCTTGGAATGGGGATTTCTGATTAAGGCAAGTAGTATGGAAAAAAACATGCAAAATCTCAACATTCCAGGCCCAATGTCTTATAGTGTGATCAACTTCGTGGGTTCATCTTCGGAGGCTTCTCAGTGCATGAATGGCTTGCCAAATCAAGCATATAATGTATGTACAGTATGCATGTAATGTAATGAAATGTAGTGTAGTGGTACTGTATGGTATGTAGGTATGTATGTAATGTAATTATGTATCTATGTAATGATAATGTAATGTAACGTAACGTAACGTAACTATGTATGTAATGTAGTAGTGTAGTGTAGTGTAGTGTAATGTAATGTAATGTAATGTAATGTATGTATGTAAGTAATTATTAATGTATGCTATGTTATATTAGTTTATGTTATGCATGTATATATGTACACTGAGAGCGGCTTCCTGTGTTCTTTCTGTGGCTAGCTTAAGAAGATTGTTTTCTGCTTCAGCAGAAAGGTTTAGTTTCAATTGAAGCTGTTTCAACTTGCATCCTATGCGGTGAGTGCAAAACTGACACATATGTGGCAAAAGTGGTGTGTGAATTGCAGCCTTTGCAACGCAGCTTGCCTCGTTTTTCCCACCAGGGCAGAGTCTACTAGAGATTCTTAGTGTCATTGACAGATTGTGGTTTCATGTTGTTGTCCAAGTTGACCCAAACCCTCGATCCCGTCGACCACCCACTGTACCGGACCCGAGGCGACGAAAGTTGCACTGAAGATCTCGGCGGCCATCGCGGATTTGGATTGAAATTAAAATACAAAAACTCTTGGCAGTGGAGCCATGGCGGTCAAAAGACGCGAAAAGGCATCATAGACTCGATAGTCATGCAATCTGCTGAGTGAGACGATGGTGATGGAAGGCATCATTTGTGTCAGTGGTGGCTTGTTGAACAGATAAATATCCAGGAGCAGAGGGAGTATGGAGCAGATTAGACATCATATGCTCATTAGTTGTTGGGTCGTCCCGCATGATCTCCACTCCAGGACGACAACATGTTTGGTTTGCAGACGGAATGTCAACCTAAAAGCAAAAGCCGGACAACGGAGTTCCAGGAGTTGGTGTGCTGGTGGAGGTACTTTCATTAGGATTCCCGTTCTTGTGCGTAGTGCAGCCCCAGCTATATGAAGCAACCCATGGTGCTAAATGGCACACGTGCACGGCATGCACGCACACGCGCGCACACACACCCAAGACTGCAGCAAGTAAAATTAGTGGGCACACAAGGCATATCTCTAAATGCCAGATCATAAGAGCACGGAGAATCTTTTGTCGGGTGTTGTTAAGAGTCGTTCTTCAGCATGTTTGATTCGGATATAGTCTGGTTGTGGCTGTGATGTGTGTGTGTGTGTGTTTCGTACCATAGCATTTTTTCACGCAAGACGCTTTGGATGAACAAGCTGTTTGGCCATCCGTGACTCCACTCTGCGTGTGCCATAGCAAAAGAATAAAGAGCAACCAAAGCAAACGGTTTATGCGGCAGAGCGTGAATTTTCGCGCACGCGAAATTGGAACTGCCACGAAATGCATTGGTTGCCGAATTCTGGGATGAAACAGAGAGTAGCTGTAGAACTGTAAAACTATGTGTATTTGTATATATGTACACAGTATACACGTATATATGTGTGTAATCAATATTCATACTATCGTACAGGTACTTTTATTGAACAGAAGCTCACTACATACGTCTTGATTTCCAGACGGCAATTCTGTTTCTTGCCAGCTCTTGCACCTTTTTCCAGAGGATTGCAGTAGTCTGCAAGATCTCTACCTCTAGCGAATTGCTTTAGTTTAGCTGGCGTAGAAATTTGGCGCCCCCCGCGTTTAAAATCTGTGGCGGATCGCAGCAGGCTGCTTGTAAGTTCTGGAGATGTGCCATGATCTAAACTCGTGGTTGTAGTAGATCCATCACGGGGATGGTCATCCATTTGCAATAGTCCAAGGCACACAAACACGGGAACCCCAAAAAGCATTTTCCAGGGACTGTAATTAACTAACATTGCGTCGATGCTTCTCATTAAAGATGGAGATGGCCCACCGTCGCGGTATGGCCGTTTGGGCGTGCTGGGCACTTTGAACCATACTTTACGTGGCCTGGAAAAGTCAGTCTTCAAGTAAGTCATTGGATGAGTCATACTACAATATGTCACTGATCCTGTCGAGAGTCCAGTGATGCAATGTTTCAGAAAATCAAGCTTCCAGCAGAATTTGTTGGGAGGCTGCTCGTCTCACCTGCTGCGAAGACCGCAGCTTGGTTTTAACCTTGTTCCCTTGAAACAATAAATCTACTCCGAAGCAATACCACTGCATCCGAAGCAGACATAGTTCCACAACTAACATCTGACATCGCACAATAGGTAAGCCGGAAAACTTATGAAGGACAGGGAGTGATCATGGGGTTGTTATTTTCCCGAATGGATAGCGAAGGGTTCTCGTTTAAATCTGGGGGTCTGGGGGTAGACTCTTGTTCGCGACTCGTTGTCTGAGCGACCGCAACCGTTTGCAACCGTTCGCATGTCACCGCAGGTAGGGCGCTATGGCGCTCACATTGGGCGAAGCTCAGATTCGTGTGAAATAGCGAGGGAACGTGTGGAAACGTAACAGGATGAAGGGTGGAGGATGATTCTGCTGCGCAGGTGTGGCTGTGACATTGGGATTTGCGTTCAGGCTGTTGCTTCGAAGCTTTGCTTTCGTGACAAGTCTCAGCGAAAATGGCCATTTTGGTGGGTGGGAGTGTGCTCAAAAAGTGTCGACATAATTCCAAGCGTGTGGCGGCGCAAATTTGGCTGAAGACATGAACATGATTGAACATGTTATATCGTCACTTTTCGTGGCAGGCGCAGTACCTTGCGCTTGTTGGAGGTGTCGGTGTTGAATTTTCGTGGCAGGCGCAGGGAGTCGTGAGGTTGCGATGTCTGGTGGAGGTGAGTGTCGCTGTGACATTGGGATTGGTGTGTTAGCGGTTGGGCATAGTGGCCACAATATGGCGCACCGTTGGATCTGTGAAGGGTTGAGCGGTTGGAGTCCTGGTGCCAGCTGGATCGTCATAAAGTGCATCGACACGGTGGACACATGGCAGTGGATCAATACGGTATTGGCCGCGAATGTTGGAATTGGTGGTGTTGTGATATAGTGCATGTGGAACGTATTGCAATAGGTTCATGCCGCGCATGAGGCGTCGACGAATGGTTGCCAGTTCTTGGAGAGCATGGCGCAATTGGATGTACAGTCAGGCTTGAAGTGTGAGTTTTGGAGGAAGTCTCATTTGAAATGCTCGTTTTGCAGACTTGACGGCTGACTTTTGGAGGACGTCTCGCACAAAGCGCTCGTTGTGGACGCTTGGCATGCGATTTTTGGAGGGGGCCTCGTGCGAAATGCGCTTTGCAGACTTGACGCGTGACTTTTGGAGGAAGCAAGAGTCGGCAAGAGTGCCCAAAACGAGTGTCCCACGAGAGTGTCCCACAAAGAGTGTTCTACAAGAGTGTCCCACGAGAGTGTTTGACAAGAGTGTCCCATAAGACTGTCCCACCCGAGCATTGCACGTAAGTGTCCCACGAGAGCTTTCCGCAAGACTGTCCCACCAGAGTGGCCGTGCCCTATGAGAGTGTCCCACAAGAGTGGCTGACTCACAAGAGTGTCCCACAAGAGCGTCCTGCAAGTGTCTTGTCCGAGAAGAGTGTCCCACGAGAGTGCCCGTCAAGGGTGTAGTACACATGTGGTGCGGGAAGCAGCCTGGGAGCAGTGGCCTCAGAACTGGCAACTTGTAGTACACATGAGTACAGGAAGCAGGTTTGCGAAGTAACCTCAGAACTGGCAACTTTGTAGTGCATATGTAGTGCGGCACGTGGCCAAATTACGTCTGAGTACGTGAGTGTCGTACATGAGTGTCCCGCTCAGGGCAGTTTTCCCATAAGAGTGTCTTACAAGAGTGTCCCATAAGAGTGTCCCACAAGAGTGTTTCCTACCAGATGTCAAACAATGTTTGGCCGTGTGTGTGTGTGTGTGCATTCGGGCTCGCGGGCTCCATCTTATTTTCCAGCTATGTTGTTTCCACTATCATTGCTGACAAGCTTTTTCCTCTACCCATATTTGTGACCTAGAAGATCTCTTCAGTTCGAGATTCATCATCGCTTGCCATGCCGGAGAAGTCGTCGCGACTCCCCAAGCTACGGCCGAATGTCAACAAGCCGGGACCTCCAGCGTGGTGAGCAGTTGTCCATACCGGGGTCACATCCCAATCGAGGCACCACAGACCCTCTTCTTTGGAAATACATCCCATGTTTATGAGCCGGAACGATGTGGGTCCAGTCAGTATGAATGACGTTCCGGAGTTTGGTGTACCAACGGCGGTCCCTCCCATGATGTCTGACTGACTAACGCCGGTCTTTCACCGCGGTGACCAACCTTGCATTGACTCATGTTGGCTTGGCGATTCCTTTGAATAAGTGACTTGAACACGCAGCGTGCAAACGGGATTTGCCCATATTTGTCCTATTTGTTGTCATGTCGTTCGTGCCTGGGGGTCATTGGCTTCCACTTTTGTGTAAACTTGTATCGCCCAGGCGTGCGCAGCAGATCATCACTGCGCACTTGCAGCTTGAGGACAGCCGTGCGACGAATGAGTTGTCAGTGTAAGTGTCCTGGTTTGGGATGAACAGGCCTCACACGCCGGACACTGATGGTTTAGGGCAAGAGGTTCAACTACCAAGAGAACCCTAAAGTAAAACAGGATCAAAGGCTGCGGCTTCATACTTTCATGTGTTGGGAATTGGCATAGCAGAATCATTGGCGACACATAGGCGGACTCTTGGCAAGGGAGAGGAAACGGGTGAGGGCTGCAATGTGGATGTGCACTTCCAACCCTTCAACTGCAGAGCTTAACAAAAGAGCTTGTTGCCAACATGGTGAGAGCGGATCAAGAACCTGATCATACCCTTCCAAGTTCACTCACCATCACCCTGAAAGGATGAGCTCGTTGGTTTCATGAGGTTCCTCCACAAAGCAGCGGGCACATATCAGGGTTCATCCCATCGGGCACCTTGTCCCAGTAGCAACATCATGCGATTGACTCCTTTCGCATTGTCCAGGTTAGGCTAGCGGCTAGTGCCACTGAGTGTTTTCAGCATTCTTGCTTCGGTGAAAAGGGTGATTTGGAAGAGTCACTTTAAGGGCAGTGGAGTAAGAGGCGAACCATCTTTTTCAGCGGTTGATAAACCCCGCTATCAAATATCAACCGGCTGAAAAGAAAAGTGAAGGGCACCCAACTATGCACATGCACATATCCTTCCGGTGGTTCACGGGCGTACTAGCTCAACGCAAGACAACTCATTGCGGCAAAGCAGAATCTACTCCCATCATTCTTTTGGGGTTGGTAGTATGACTTTTTCTAGTTGGTAGCGGCGCCGGTAATCGTGCCGAGATCTAGATGCCGGAATCTGTCTGACCATCTGACTCTAGCTCAGCTCACCGTGGGTTACGGTCAGGGCTGACATAGCATCACACAAAGTATCTTTTTGGAACCATGATGTCCCCCATCGCCACAGCCGGTGCTGAACGTCGCTGAGGATGTGATGGCCACCACACACAAGGGCGGCTGGTGACCAAGGGCTCGAACTTTGCGGAAGTACAAGCCAGCGGGGCTGAAGTCAGCGATCACGACAAGGTCCACATCTATCACAGGTCCAGGCTCAGGTTTTGCCAGCCTCTGAAAAGCTCTCGTAGGGAGAATCTACAAAAGACGCAAAGAAAGATCCTTGGCTCGGACACAACACGCATCAAGGAATTCGCCCGTCTCACCCCCAAGA